GGAAGCCAATGTAAGCATTTGATCCAAAGTGCTACAAGAATACAAGCAATTTTTAACAGAATCACTTCCTACTATGACACAGAATGAACTAGAATTGGAGAGTGAAGGCAACCAGGTGCACCAGCTAGTCATTGACACAAGAGTCTAAGGATGAACAAATGAGGGCTCAATCAAAGATAAAAGAAACAGAAATGATGTCCCCACGCTGACTCAGCTACATTTCTGTTTCCTTAAGACAATTATCTATTTAAGTTACTTAGAAGTTTTAAGTAGTGATATAGTTGCTAATGTGTTTAATAATGAAAAACTGATATATTACACATAATAGTCCCTTCTCAAAGCCTTGCAGTGCTTGAATGTACTGGAGCCATTATGTCTTTGACATCCTCATAATATATTTCTGGAGAAAGGGCTAATAATTGAGAGAAAACATGAGTTTGTATATAAGTTGATGAACAGGTGCAGCTGGGAGAGGGTAGCTGGCATCAGAAGACCTGCATTTTCATCTCGGTTCTTCCAATTAGTAGCTGTATGGCTACAGGCAAGTTATTTCACCACTCTCAACTTCCATTTCCTTGGCTATAAAACCAAGATTCCAAAACCTATCTATAGGATTATGGTCAAATTTAAATGAAAAAAAAAAGTACATGAAAGTACTTCATAAATTTTACAGGGTAATATGGGTACAAGATTATATTTTTGTCAGCAATAATACATAAATTGAAACTAAAGCTTTCTCATTCAAGATGAAACTTTGTTAAAATTCTCTACAGTTGTATTTTTTTTTTTTTTCGTGCACCGTTGGGGTAGATCGAACAGCAGAAGACATGAGGAAGTGGTATCAGACAAGCACAGGTGGCATCAGAAGTACTCCCAAATGTCAGTGACCCTAGTTAATTTTGCTAACAGTCATGGTGCATCACAGAGAGGTAACACATCAAGACTTGGAGATGTGTGGAGAGTATACAGAAAGTCAACCATGATCAGGTGCTGGTATCCTGGACAGGTGTGGCACTGGAGTCCAGGCCAAGACTGTGAGCTCAGGAAAAACAGGTAAGGGTAAAGCCTGACCCTAATTGCAGAGAAACTTAGAGACAGAAAAAAGCAAGCTCAGGAGCCTGAGGACAGGGACAAATCCAGAGGTGTGTCACCAGAGGTAGTTTACCAGGATACAACTGGTGTAAGGCAATAATCTTGTTATCAAATCCAAACTTAAGGACTAAACTAGATAGCCATAATGCTAATACATGCTGAGCTGCCTGAGCTTTTGGCCTCCAGTTTCAGAAATTTTCCCTCTACTAGTAATTTTCATATTTTTAAAGTTTAAATGGAGGAGGTTATATTTATACCCATTAAATTTCATCTTGCTTCTTTTGGCCCATCATCCCACTCTGTCAGTAGCTTTCTGAGTCTTGACTCTGTCATCCAAGTAATTAGTTGTTGCTCCCAGCTTCATGTCATCTTCGGATGTGATGAGTGTGCTTCCTGTTTTTTGCTACTGGTTGATAAAAGTATGACAGAATGCTGAGGCATACTCCTTAGAGAGAAGATAGCCAGCTTCAAAGTAACTTAGTACAATCTCACTGAGTCCCATTTCTTCACCATCCTACAATAGAGGCCGCAATGGAGTGGGTATTATGGTACAAGTGGGTTAAGTCCTTGCTTGAGACACATATATCCCATATCAGAGTGCCTGGGATCCAGTCCCAGCTACTCTTGTTTCTGAACCAACATCCTATTAATATACCCAGAGGGCAGCTGATGATGGCTCAAGTCCTTGAGTTGCTGCCATCCCGTAGGAGACTTGCAGTGGTTTCCTGGCTTTGGCCTGACTCAGCCCGGGTTGATGTGGGCATTTGGGAAGTGAGTCAGGGGGTAAAAGACATACACATACATACACACACACACACACTATCTCCCTCTATCTCTCTGTTACCTTTCAGATAAATAAGTAAATGTTTTTAAAAAAGAGAAATGCAAGAAAATGTCTTGTTAACACACAAACACAGAAAGCCATACCACCACTCTCAATTTTCCACAGTTCAGTCCTTTCTCATATACACATGCTCACTATGCCCCCTCTTCCACCCTTCATCCCCATCCTCCTCCTCCACTGAGAATCAGAATCATTCCTTCTGCCAAGATCCACCTGTGCCACGAGTCCCAAAACTTCTCATCTCCTCTAGGTCCTTAATGCATCACCTTTGCCCTGTGCCTCATTTCCCACCTCCTCCTAGCATCTTGGTTCTCAAACTTCAGCATGCATCAGTCAACTGTGAGGTGAGTTAAAATACAAAGGACTTGGACCCAAGAATTTTCCTTTCTAACAAATTCCAGCAGTTCCCAAAATGCGGTCATCAGACCAGTAGCATCAGTGTCACCTGAAACTAGTTAGCCATGTACAGTCTCAGACCTGACTCCAGAGTGACTCAATCAGAAATTTGGTGGATCCAGCAACCTGTGAATTCACAAACTCTCCAAGGAATTCTCATACTTGCTAAAACCTGAGAACCACTGTTCAGCATACTGAGCACAAACAGAGCTTTGCAGCCAAAGAAGTCTATTTGGATCTCTGTTGAGTTCTTCTCATTGTGTGGCAACGACTTACCATCTCCCAAAGCTTCAGTATTTTGACCTATAAGCTGTCAATGACAATACCTTCCTTTGTGAATGGTCATGGAGGTTAAATAACATAATGTATTTAAAGTACCAAGTACCTCACCTAAATATTTTTTCTTTCTTTCTTTTTTTTTTTTTTTTTTTTTTTTTTTTTTTTTTTTTTAAGGCAGAGTGGACAGTGAGAGAGACAGACAGAGAGAAAGGTCTTCCTTTACCATTGGTTCACCCTCCAATGGCCGCTCTGGCCGGCGCACCGCACTGATCCGAAGCCAGGAGCCAGGTGCCTCCCCTGGTCTCCCATGCAGGCGCAGGGCCCAAGGACTTGAGCCATCCTCCACTGCACTCCCAGGCCACAGCAGAGAGCTGGACTAGAAGAGGGGCAACCGGGACAGAATCCAGCGGCCAGACTGGGACTAGAACCCAGTGTGCCGGCGCTGCAGGTGGAGGATTAGCCTATTGAGCCGCAGTGCCGGCCATCACCTAAATATTAAAAAGGGACTTATATTTAAATACTCAATCTACTATGAATGCTTAAATCTCTATTGTCATAAACAGACTCTTCCTCTATGTCCCATCCTAACTTTCATAGCCAAGCCCGTAAGAAATGTTTTTCCACTATTCTGCTTTACCACATCTCATTGCACTTCAATTTGCTGCATTTGACTACTGTCCTGACCACTCTAATGACCTGGCTTTGCTAAAATTGTCAATGATCTATTTTTTTTTTACAAGCAAAGTTAGACTGTGAGAGAGAGAGAGACAGGGAGAGAGTTATAGACAGTGAGAGAGAGACAGAGAGAAAGGTCTTCCTTCTGTTGGTTCACTCCCCTAATGGCCCTAACGGCTGGCGCTGTGCCGATCCAAAGCCAGGAGCCAGGTACTTATCCTGGTCTCCCATGGGGTGCAGGGCCCAAGCACTTGGGCCATCCTCCACTGCACTCCCGGGCCACAGCAGAGAGCTGGACTGGAAGAGGAGCACCTGGGACTAGAACCCGGTGCCCCAACCAGAACTAGAACCCGAGGTGCCGGCGCCAGGTGGAGGATTAGCCAAATGAGCCACGGCGCCGGCCCTATGATCTATTTTTGACAATAGAGGACTTCGCAGGTCCCATCTTTGTAACAGCTGTGCTTTTTGCCTTCATGACAGTCTCACTTCCCTTGCAAGGTCTTTCTCCCACCTTCCTGCTAATACTGTCTCAGTCCCATGAATGGGTCTCTCCCCTACACTTCCCTTTCTTTTTTTTTTTTTATTGTTTTTTTTTTATTTTTAAGTAAACAGTACTGTTTTATTAACTGCATTTCTTACATAATTGTGGGAACAGAACATACTCCTAAGAAGAATAATAAGTCAAGTAGATTGAATTTGAAATGGTTAGGGATATATATATATTTTTTTATCTTTTATTTAATGAATATAAATTTCCAAAGTACGACTCATGGGTTACAATGGCTTCCCCCCCATACCGTCCCTCCCACCCACAACCCTCCCCTTTCCCACTCCCTCTCCCCTTCCATTCACATCAAGATTCATTTTCGATTATCTTAATATACAGAAGATCAGCTTAGTATACATTAAGTAAGGATTTCAACAGTTTGCTCCCACACAGAAACATAAAGTGAAAAATAATAGATGATTTTTTTTAAATGATGATGAAATCAGATCAGACCTATTGTCATGTTTAATCCCAGTGAGAGTCAAGTTGGGAATTGATAATTTCTTTTTTTTTTTTTTTTACAGAGGATCAGTTTAGTATGCATTAAGTAAAGATTTCAATCGTTTGCACCCCCATAGAAACACAAAGTGAAATATACTGTTTGAGTACTCGTTATAGCATTAAGCCTCAATGTACAGCACATTAAGGATAGAGATCCTACATGAGGAGTAAGTGCACAGTGACTCCTGTTGTTGACTTTACCAATTGACACTCCTGTTTATGGCATCAGTAATCACCCTATGCTCCAGTCATGAGTTTCCAAGGCTATGGAAGCCCCTTGAGTTCTCCGACTCTTATCTTGTTTAGACAAGGTCATAGTCAAAGTGGAGGTTCTCTCCTCCCTTCAGAGAAAGGTACCTCCTACTTTGAAGACCTGTTCTTTCCACTGGGATCTCACTCACAGAGATCTTTTTGCCAGAGTGTCTTGGCTTTCCATGCCTGAAATACTCTCATGGGCTTTTCAGCCAGATCCAAGTGCCTTTAGGGTACACTTCCCTTTCAATCCTCCACATTCCTACCCACCCATGACCACAGTCTTACCTACTACCACCTAAATTCCCCAAGAAAGCTCCAAATATCTCCAAATGATCACTAGATATCCCATCTTGGAAGACCCGTGACACTCAAAATCATCATAGCCAAAGACCAAACTCATTGTCTACTCACCCAGAGCTGTTCCTCTTTCTCAATTCCATGTGTGTTCCCAAATAAAGTTGGAACTCTCAGGGTCAGAAGCAGGGTCTGATTATCTCTGATCTCCCATACTCAGCCTCAGAGCCAAGTAAATACTTAATAGGTATGTGTTTATTGAACACATGGATCAAAAAAAAATAATGGCAGATTGTCTAGTAACTGCCATAAAAAGAAATTAAATACGTGTAAAAAAGGAAGTCAATTACTTTCCATACCCACGCTGCTACTCAGAGTCATCACTTGCCTTTCTAGATCTTGACTTCAATTTCACAAGTATTTAGTGTCTGAAATCCACTTTCTCCCTTTAATCATAAATAGCACATTTGCCTGTCCCAGGATTTGTGTATCTCTCTTCGTTAGTCCTCCAAAATTATCAGGAGTAGCCCCAACAGTCACACTAGTAAGCACTGTAATTCTGTTTAAATATAGTTAACCCAGAGACTTGAACAACTTTGAGGCAGTGAAGCATTTTTTCACTATCACTTCCCTTATCTAGGGTTTCTGTTCTTCTTTAACTGTATTTGCTCTGCTCTTTGTAGTTGAAAGATCATTCTAGACAGAGAAGACAAAGCTGAAATTAAAAGTAGACTTGTTCTGTTTTCTCAGTCATTGAGTAAGATACCACCCATTTGTACACCATCAAGCCTTATCTCTTCCTGATTCTCTAACTTAAAGTTTTCAATGTCATTTTCTAATGTCTTTAGCTTTTTTATCACGGTGAGGTTTAGACTTGCTAATTATATTTTAACCACTTTAGTAATATTCATCTTTGGTAATGAGCTCCTCCTTCAATCTTCTGTATCCAGACACAAAAGAAGGAATGAGAACTTGGAAGTGCACAGGAAGCGAAGCCAGTGTGAGAATGGAGCAGGCATTCCCTAACCTGGGGAGGTCCTAGCAAATGGTGCAACACTTTTCTCTGATGCCAGAAAAGGCAAGACCTTGGCTGCCGAGCCGGATAGTCAGGTATTTTAACTTATTTTCTGATAACATGAACATTTAGAATTTATTGTTATTTGCATTTGAGATTTGCCTTATCTTAATTCCAGATTGCTATTTAATCAGCAGTGGTTTGGAACATTTCAGCTTTTAGTTTCTCACTAAGTTAAATATTTAATGATCTGTAAACAAACACTTGAGAAGATGATACCTAAAGGGACTCTGATCCCTCTGTACTTTGTAAAGTGAGTGAATTCACTCCTGAACAGTAACTTTTAATTTTAAAGTAAGTGTTCTGGGGCTGGCGCTGTGGCATAGCAGATAAAGCCACCGCCTGCAGTGCCGGCATCCCATATCGGTGCTGGTTCGGGTCCCGGCTGCTCCACTTCTGATCCAGCTCTCTGCTATCGCCTGGGAAAGCAGTAGAAGATGGCTCAAATCCTTGAGCCCCTGCACCTACATGGGCGACCCAGAGGAAGCTCCTGGCTCCTGGCTTTGGATTGGCACAGCTCCGGCCATTGCTGTCAGTTGGGGAGTGAACCAGCAAATGGAAGACCTCTCTCTCTCTCTGCCTCGACTTTCAGGTAAATAACTCTTTCAAGTAAATAAATAAACCTTTAAAATAAAATAAAATAAGTGTTCTGCTAAGGTTAAAAATCTGGGGCAGGGGTGGGTATCATGGCTCAGTGGTTTAGATGCCCCTTGGAACAGCACATACCATGTCAGAGTGTGAGTTTGAGTCCCTACTCAATGTCCAAGCCAGCTTCCTGCTGGAGACAGTAGCTAACTGTTCAAATACCTGTTTCTCGGCCACCCACATGGATGTCCCAGACTCCTGACTTTGCTCTGCTACTGCAGGCATTTGGAAAGTGAACCAGCAGAAGGAAGATCAAACTTTCTCTCTCTCTCTCTCTCTCTCTCTCTCTCTCATCATTTCTTTTAAAATCTGGGGCTTGAGCAATAGGAATTGATGGGAAGAAGTCACCACTACAGAAAGCTTTGGGAGGGTTTATTCCAACTTCTACCAAGGTTGCAGTCTTGCTATGGAGGCTCTTGACCACCATAATTGGGAAGCAGGGTCAGGGAAGAGGAAGAAGAAAGTAAAGTGGTCCATGTGTAGAGCCAGGAGTACACTTGGGCCATGAGGGAGGAAGAGCCCACATGCAAATATAGGTTTGAAATAGGTTGAAATCCAATAAGACAACCTCCAAGAAACAAATACAGGAGCTAAAAGGCATGGGTGAATTCACAGGTGGAAGGGTTGCAAAAGCCAGAGGAAGTATTAAAGAGCAAATAAGGGAAACAGAACAGAGGTGATTGGAGAAGGTACTGTGTGATGAAACAACTACTTGTGATCAACCCTTTAGATTTCAGGCATCGATTTATACAGTGCTTTTGGATCACATATTTTTGAAATATGCACGTACTTGAGAGCTCCATACTTCTGCAGATGATTAGAAGAATCATTTGTCACAAAAATATCAAAACTTTATTTTAGTTCAGTTTATTTGATTTGATTTTTTTTAATTTATTTGACAGGTAAAATTATAGACAGTGAGAGAGATACAGAGAGAAAAGTATTCCCTCCATTAGTTCACTCCCCAAATGGCCACCACGGCCAGCGCTGCACTAATCCAAAGCCAGGAGCCAGGTGTTTCCTTCCGGTCTCCCACGCAGGTGCAGGGGCCCAAGCACTTGGGCCATGCTCCACTGCCTTCACAGGCCACAGCAGAGAGCGGGGCTGTAAGAGGAGCAACTGAGACTAGAACCCAGTGCCCACATGGGATGCCGGCGCCATAGGAGGACTAACCAAGTGAGCCACAGCGCAGGCCTTATTTGATTTTATTTTTGACAGCCACTCAGACATCTTGGATCCCCTCTAGAATCTTATGTTTGAAAATTACAAAACTCTGCCTCTTCCTAGATACAGGGTTTTCCCCCTGGCTATTACATATAATATAGTCATTTCCGCTTTAGCAGTTAGCTTCCCCTCGTCATCAGAATTAAGTCTAGGGTGGCAGTTCCCCTTTTGATTTCTAAGAAATGAAACCGTCAGGAGAACAAATCAAACATTTTTCAGATCTTCTTCTGCCATTCTATTGTCCTGGGTTATTGACTCTTCAATTTTGAATATCCATCATGATATTTCAGCAAAACTCTCCCAAAAGTTTTCCATATAATTACCCCTCCTGAGATCACAAAAATAAAAATTCTCACAACACTTCCAAGCAGAGTCTGATCACAGAAGCTGTGGCCAAACAGGCAACATCCCAAGACTTTTGCATGGGTCTCAGACTGTCAGGACATGGGAACAGAAGAATGTGCAGGTTTTGAGGGGCCAGGGTCACCAGCATGAAGTTGCAGCCTGAAGCAATGGAGGACTCAGAAGACAAGGAAGAGAGCAAAACTGAAAGTGGTAAGGCATGTGAAACTCTGAGTGCCTGGACCAGAGTTTGGAAAAGCATCAAACATGACAGGGGGCCCAGATGGTGAGAGCCAGTGTTTTCATGTGGAGCCAGAAGTTCATTGGGGAAAAAAAGAAAATACAAATATATCTGGAGCAAATCAACAGTTGATTTTGATTCTTGGCTTTGACTCCTCTCAATGGTTGTTTTACAGGTTCATAAAAGCAGTTGTTTTATTTATTTACTTGAAAGGCAGAGTTACAGAGAGAAAATAATAGAGAGAAAGACATATTTCATTCTCTGATTCACTCCTCAAATGGCCACGAGGACCAGGGTTGGGCCGGGGCAAAGCCAGGAGCTTCATCTGAGTCTCCCACATGGGTACAGGGGCCCAAGTACTTGGTCAACCTTCTACTTCTTTCCCAGGTGTGTTAGCAGGGAACTGGATCAGAAATGGAGCAGCTGGGACTCAAACCAACACCCATGTGCAGTTTCTAATATTTTTGTTCATTTCTCTGTCTCTTGAAGTTAGCACAGCCTGTATCACATAGCAAATTTCCATGAAATTAGTAGGGAATCATTGAAACATCAGTATTGTCAATTTTTATTATTTTTTACTCTATATATTAGTTACAACCAATTAAAAAAAACATATGATATTTGTCTTTTTGGGTCTGGTTTATTTCACTAAGCATAATGGTCTCCAGTTGCATCCATTTTATTGCAGAAGACAGGATTTCATTCTTTTTAATGGTTGAATAGTATTAAACTTTATATCATTTATTCTTTTTTGTTTTTTGAACTTTAGTTTTAATTAGTTTTTAACAGATTCAATGTGATTTGTGGATATAATTCTAAGAACATAATGCTATTCCTTTCCTCTCTCCCTCATTTTCTCTACCGCCCTCTTACCTTCTCCCTTTCTGGATGACTCCTGCAGAGCCAGCATCCCATATGGGCACTGGTTCATTGCCTGGCTGCTTCTCTTCCTATCCAGCTCCCTGCTAATGTGCCTGGGAATGCAGTGGATGATGATCCTAGTGCTTGGGTCCCTGCACCCACATGGGAGACCCAGAAGAAGCGCCTGACTTCTAATTTCAACCTGACTTAGCCCTAGTCATTGCACCCATTTGGGGAGTGAATCAGCAGTTGGAAGATCTCTCTCTCTGTCTCTCCCCATTGCTCTGTCTCTCTCTGTAACTCTACCTTTCAAATAAATAAATATCTTTAAAGAAATTTAGATTACAGTAAAAAGTCTGGACCAGCATGGGCGTGGTTCACCATGTTGAGGACACCAAAGCAGAGCGTACCCTTTGGCAGGGGCCGTCCTCTTTCAGAGTTGCATCAGTTTATAGTTAAACAGCAGTTTCCATACTGCTAAGTAATCCTACAACTAGAGCTGAAGGAAAGGACCTGCATCATGCATAAGTATGCTTCTCACACTAGAAACCCGGCATTACTATCACTGCACAGGAATGCTAATATCTTTGGTGCCACAGGTAAGGTAAAAAATAAAAAATGATAGCTCCTTTGAAATTATAACAAAATGAGTTTTGAATCAACCAGAAGCTTCAAACAAACAAATATTCTTTTGAAAGATATTTGCAAAGCAAAATTAATCTGAAACTTTAGATGACACAATTAAATGTATTCTCACCTTGAATAAAATTATTGGTGTGAGCCTTTAAGAAGGCATTAGTGGATTTTTTTTGTTTGTTTCTTGTGCTACAAAAATGAGTGGATTCAATACTTATGTGAACTACACAACACCCTAACAATTCTCAGACTCCAAACAAAAACCTCTGTCAAGGCAATGACCTCCCCATCATCATTTATGTTAAAGTCTGAAAAATATGTTCAAAAGATTTTTGCTTATTAGAATATTTCAGAAGATATTCTCATTCATAATCTTTGAAGGGATAGAATGCTAAAATCTAACTCTGAAACCTGGAAATCCTGTGAAGCTTTGAAACCCATTTTTGTAATAACAGCAAGTGCGCCCTGAGTTGGTTTGCCAGAGCGCTCCTCCCCATACACCTCTGTCCCTCAGAGGAGGATGGTGGGGTACGGTGTAAACCACCAGAGGCTTTGGCAAAGAGCAAGCACCTGTGAGCACATCTCTCGG